TGAAACACTTCAACTAAATTTATTTCATTAGTAACTTAATATTTTTATCTGAATTTTACATCCTACAGAAATGTATCTAGAATGAGGAGCCTGTATTACACTGAAATTGAAGTATTCAAATTCACTAGCAAAGCACACTAAAAAACACAGAAAGATAATAGAGAAGAATTCTGACTTGCTACATACAGCCTTGTGATCCTCGATCCTAGCTGAAAAACAATTTAATTATATTTTATTGCTAAAAGTGTCAACTTCAAATAGTCAAACTAGTAATTATAAACTCTAGAGAATAAATAGAAAAGAACAGACTCTTAGATTGTAACTCATTGTAATGAAAGATAATGACTTTTATTACATTGAGAAGTTAACTAAAAACATTGTAGAAAAAATCAATTTTTGACTAACATTTTTCGTAACTTGTTTATAACATAGTCTTATGATTAAATCATCAAAAGAAATCTCTAGCAGTTTATCTCTCTAAATCTAAATGTGACCCCCTTCAAGGGAGCCCCATTGAATTTAAAAGACCCACACCAACTAGAGGTGCCCAAATACTCTAAATTGTTTCAAATTAGTTCAAAGGAGCCCCATTAAATTTGAAGATAAACAAATCTCCTCTGTTTTTGTATCTTTAGTTTTTTTTTAACTTCTATCAGGAGTTTCTCTAGTCCTGGGTCTCATGGGCTGCAGCTCAATATTAGCCCATATGTAAACCTTGCACTGGTTGCAAGCAGAGAGACAATCCAAGGTGTGAGCTATGAATTGGAATCATTCAACTTGAGCAGGTATAAAAATTTAGCTGGGGAAGACGGTAACAGACTGATATGTCCCAGAAAGGGATATATTTGAAGGAAGTAGCTAAGTGGTTTTGGCTACTATAACCAAGTATTATAGAATACGGTAGTAGTAATCGATTGGTACGCGTCGTAGTCGCAGGTAAGAAGTGTAGATCAATGGCGTAGTCCAATCGGCGTCGTTATAGACTTAGCTCTCAGACTAAGGCTCTTGACTCACTGTCGTACCTACACATCCATTGGTATTTATGACAGACGCCAGCCAATCATATTCCAGTGAGGGGGAACACAAGTGTACGCATATTCCATTATATCACAGACTATGGAAAGTATGATATGGGAAAGTGAGCAAAGAATTAACAAATATGAAAATTTTGTTAGAAACAAACAAAACATTGTTGAACTGCTATGTTATATATATATATATATATATGTGTGTGTGTGTGTGTGGGGGGGGTTATGGTAATTTACCCACGCATGCATGGATTCTCCCAACTATAAATAGGAGCAGGTACTGCCTTTTGAAGAGGGAATTTTCCAGCAGTTAGCTCTGACAGTCAGACAGAACATTCTTGCTGTAACACACTCGTTTGTATATGCTTCTGCTAATATATTTGTTTAACTCAATTCCTCTCTTTGTGCCTTTATTTCTGGCCTCTACAAGGCAACAACAATATGTTTACTAATATTCATTCTATTAAGGCCAAATGCCATTCAAGATAGAGACTACTGAAGGATTTTTGAGTTCAAGAGTTATAATATAAATGCCTTTTGTAAAAGATAAAAGTTAACCAGAGACTTGAAGTGTTAAATATCGTAGTGGTTGGGAAAGAATCCTCTTGGGATTCTGTTCCACAAAGCAACAGTTCTTTGGAAGAAGCTATCTAAATGGAACTTGCTCCTTACTAATGGAATACAAAAGGGAATCCCTTTCTCATATTTGAAATGTATGTTTTATTGGGTCTTAGCTGAGAAAGGTTAAAGATGCAGATGAATTGAAGAATTTAACATCTAAACATTTTCCATCGAAATTAGCAATAAAAGAGTGAAAAATCTTGCAGTGTTTCATGCATGGGAAAAAACACGTAGGGTACAAAACAATTTCTCATTACCTAATCTTTAACATGTAGATTAATTTTATTGGCTATCAAGACTGTAAAATATAGGGAATTGATATTATTTTTATGGTATATCCAAATTCTATGGCTTATTTTGTTCTGGATCTACAAACATTTAATTTCAGATATTTTGTACATAATTTTCTACTTTCAGAGTCAAAAACTGTTTTTTTAGATATATAGTTTATAAGATCATAAAATGGATTGTTTGCAATTTTAAAATAAAATGTCCTAGTCATTTTTTGTTATAAAAAATGTACTGTTGATTTTTTTTACTAATTCACTATTTTTTATTTATAATTGGGATTGCTAACAGGTGCTACCACCCCAGGTCAGAGTGGACCTAGACAACAACAATTAAGAATGTTTCACACTCCTTGTCGTCTCAAATCTCCTGCTCAGAACTTGTTGCGATGTGGTTTATTGACTGGAAAGTGAAATAACATAATTTACAGGCCAAATAACAATAGTGGTAGTTCATTGTAAAGGCAGATTTATAAATTTGGAGTCAGGTAGAATACTATATACAGTAGTTCATAGGCTGCAGTGAATGTTGAACAATTTAAAGACAAAAGAGGAGGCTTGAAGTGATAGAGATGTGATTTTATGGACAAATGTAGAGAATACCATAGACTGAAGATATGGACAATGAGGAAGTTTTAAGGACAATAGGAATGAAAAGGACACTTATACTTACAAACATAATGAGACAGTTGAAGTTTTTGGGACACGTAATGAAGAAGGAAGGCTTAGAGAATTTATTACTCAAACAGGTGACATTTCTGGGAAACAGAACGAGGAAGGAAAGCTTACGGAATTCAATACTCGAACCGATGACATTTCTGAAGAAGGAATGATCAGAGACACAAACAGTCGAAATTTCCGCGACAAATGATGAGGAAGGAAGACTTAAAGAATTTAATACTCGCAGGGTATATTAATGGCAACAGGAAACAGTAAGTAACGACTCTAAAAATCTGTGTGAACGGATGGCAGAGCATGGATTGAAAGGGATGGTAACAGTGCAAATGTCGCTGAAAGCTACAAAGGAGAGAAAGCTGTGGAGAGCCATGATCATCCACAACCTGAGGTGACACAGCTCATAAAAGAACTTAATTTCAAATATGACATAAACTGTTGCATATGAAACAAATAGATCGGTAACTTTTCTCACACTTCTCGCCTGTGGAACTCTCTTCTAGTTTCTTTTGTTTTGTTTTTTTTACTTTCTTGCTACCTACAATCGTTAAAAATTCAAGTGCAACATCAATTGCCATATTCTATTTTTCTGAATTCTGTTCTTTTATTGTCCACTCTCCTCACTGAAGCTTTTTCATTCTTTTTCACTCTCACTGACTTTTTGAATTTAAGTAACAGTACTAGACTGGCATAGAGATCTCATCAATTTACAGCTGAGCTTGTTAGATGTAGCCATAAGTTCTATGCTAACAGTTTCTTTTCTCACATCTCTCGCTTGTGGAACTCACTACCAGCTCCATGCTTTCCAGCCAACTTTAAACTGCAAAAGTTTAAATGCAATTTTAATTACTATATTATGTCCTCCTGATTACTCTTTTCTCCTCCTGTTTATTATTAACGCTTCTGTTCCTAATTCTTCCACACCCTGTAACCTCCTGTCTCTTAGTGGCTTTGTCTAAAACAATTTTTGAGTTCACTGATTAAATTACTTTTTGGGAAAAAAGCCTGTAAAAATAAATTTAAAATATATATCAAGTCTTCAAATGAAGTCATTACATTGGGAAACATGAATACCAAGCTCCATAATCGCTCCTCATAAAGATCTCTAATTTAGATGTTGCCAAATTTCTTTCGCTGACTTGCACATTATGAAAGAAATTTGAAAAACTAAGAAAACAATGTGCTTATTAATGGGAGCATAGAGCAACAAATGTTTTGTGGTTCATAAATCTTTTCCAATTCTTAAGAGATTTTCAGGAAGCAATGAAAAGAAAGAGATAACGTTCACAGAAGTATAACATGGTACCAAAAATATTAAGAATCTAAATTTGGTGTCATGCTGATAGAATTACAAAGAGAATGTGACAAACACAGGCACTGGAGAAATCACCATATCCTAATGATATAGTGGTGAGCTCTACAGCAAGAAACCTTTGGAAACCCTACTGTGGATTATGAAAAATGTCAAACAAGAAATAATTACAGTTGAATAATAATAATAATAGAAAAAAGAACACAAGAAAAAATAAAATAATGGTGAGAGCAAGGAAGCAGGTAAAAATAAAAGGTGAAAATGATAAATTAAAAAGCATAAGAAAAAGGCAAGATAAAAAAAAGAAAGAGAAAATTAAAAAGAAAAAGAAAAGAAAAGACAGAAGGGAAAAAAAGAGAAGAAAGGGGCATGAAGGAAAATAAGGAAAAGGGAAAAAGAAGAAAAGGGAGAAGAAAGAAAACAAGGAAGAAGATAAAGGGGAAAGAAAAAGAAAAATGAAAGGAGGAATGAAATAAAGAAGGAAAACAATAAAAGGGGAAGGAAGAAGATAAAAGAGGAACAAAAAAAATAAAGAAAAAATAAAGAGGATGACAAAAAAATGAAGCAGATAATGGGAAAAGAAAGAAAAAATGAAGAAGAAAAAAAGGAAGGAAGTAAAGAGGACCGAATGAAAAGAAGAAAAAGGGAAAGAAAAAAGGAAGAGAAAAGAAATAAGAAGATAAAAAAAACTAAAAAGAGAAGGAATAAAAAATGAAAGAAGGAAATAATGATGAAAAAGTAAAGAAGAAAGATGATAACGACAAAGAATATGATAAAAAGGAAAAGATAAAAAAGAAAAAAGTTTTTATATTGATTAATTGATTTGTTTTCTACAACTTACCAATCCTTTTCAGGTTATTTAAAACCAGAAAATATTTTTAGATTGTAAGAATTTTTTTTGAGATAATAAGGATCTAGTCACTAATTAACCCATAGCTAGGGGAGAAGTGGTAGATTTGTACCTTTCCCAAGGGTGTTTTCATGTAAGTGTACATGATGAACCAATTGGAATTAAAACTCAGTTTTCAGATTAACAATTTCAAGCCATCATCCATTAAACCACCAGCCCATCCAGAGCTTACAGCACCTGGTATTCACAAGCGACCACCCATCTAGGTACTGACCAGACACAATATTGCTTAACTTCACTGATCGTATTGAAACCAGTGTTTCAACACAATGTGAGCATAAGCCAAAAAAAGAAGGACAATAACAAGGAGGGCCAAAAGGAAAGAAGGAAAAGTGGAAGAAAGAAAAGAAGAAAATAGGAGATAAACAAAAAAGAAGGAAGTGGCTAAAGGGTAGCAAAAGAAAAGTTGGAAAAGAAGGAAGAAAGAAGATAATAAAAACGATGGAAAAAATAAAAGTGAATGAAGAAAGAAAGCAACAAGATGAGAAGGAAGAAGATAATGAAGAACAAAAAGGATGGAAAAGAGATAAAGGCAACAAAAGAAAGGAAGGAAGAAGGGGCAACAAAAGAATGAAAGGAAGAGGGGGCAACAAAAGAATGAAAGGAAGAGGGGCAACAAAAGAATGAAGGGAAGAGGGCAACAAAAGAATGAAAGGAAGAGGGCAACAAAAGAATGGAAGGAAGAGGGGGAAACAAAAGGAAGAGGGGCAACAAAAGAAGAAAGGAAGAGGGGCAACAAAAGAATGGAAGGAAAAGGGGTTACAAAATTTAAAAAAGGAATTTGTCCAACAAAAAAAATTAAGGAAGAGGGCAACAAAAGAAAGAAAATAATTAAGGGCAACAAAAATTAATTAAAGGAAGAGGGGCAACAAAAGAAAGAAAGGAAGAGGGCAACAAAAGAATGGAAGGAAGAGGGCAACAAGAGAAAGAAAGGAAGGTAGAGGGGCAACAAAAGAATGGAAGGAAGAGGGTAATAAAAGAATGGAAGGAAGAGGGGCAACAAAAGAAAGAAAGGAAGAGAGGAATTGAAAAAAAAGAAGGAAGAGGGAAACAAAAAAAAAAAATTTAAGAGGGGCAACAAAAAAAATTTAAGAGAAGAGAAATGTGAAACTAAGGAAGAGGGGCAACAAAAAAAGGGAAGGAAGAGGGCAACAAAAGAAAGAAAGAAAGATCAGAAACAAAAATCAATGGAAGGAAAGAGGGCAAGAAGATGAAAGAAAAGGAAGGTTTTATAGCAACAAAATTAATGGAAGGAATTTCAAATAAAAAAATGGAAGGAAGAGGGCAACAAAAGAATGGAAGGAATTTCTATATTCAAAAAAGAAAGAAAGGAAGAAAAATAATTTAAAAAGGAAGGAAGAGGGAAACAAAAAAAAAATTTTAGGGGCAACAAAAAAAGGGAAGGAAGAGGGGCAACAAAAGAAAGAAAGGAAGAGGGCAACAAAAGAACGGAAGGAAGAGGGCAACAAGAGAAAGAAAGGAAGAGGGGCAACAAAATTTGGAATTTGTCAGAGGGTATTAAAGAATGGAAGGAATAAAATCAAACAAAGAAAAAAAAGGAAATAGGGCAACAAAAAAAGGGAAGGAAGAAATTTAGAAAATTTAAGAAAAAAAAACTATTGGCAACAAAAGAATGGAAGGAAGAGGGCAACAATAGAGAAAAAAAGGGAAAATAATCAACAAAATAATGGAAAAAAGAGGGTAATATTTGTTGGAAGGAAGAGGGGCAACAAAAAATGGAAGGAAAAAAAATCCAACAAAACGAAAAAAACAATGGGTCTTTGCATATATACCAAATATTTTACAAACCCAACTGGAATTCAAACACAGCTCTCCAATTTCTCATTCCGAGCCACCATCCATTCCACCACCCATACATCCAAGCTTACAGCACCTGGTATTCCCTAGCAGTCCAAGTTCAAAGTTGCTTAACTTTGGTGATTGTACAAGAACTGTGATTTCAACATGATATGGCTGTAAATTTAAATGTTTGAGAAAAAATGGAAAATAAAAATTTGCATCTGAAATTTCTGGGGCAGATAAGGAATGAAGTTTTGGAAAATTTAAAAGTCACAGAACATATTGAAAATAAAAAGACATAAGGACATGACAATTTAACATTTTTCAGTTTTGAATGAATCAGATATTTTGTAATATGACATTAAGACAAAATTATTTTAAAAGTTGCAAAAAAAACAAAACATTTAGAAATGGTGGAGATGCTGCCATCCTGAGTTTTGAGGACATAAATAAAAAAATAAGTTAAAAAAGACCAAGATGCTTGCTTGTTAAATCAAAACAAGATTTGACACTGATTAAAAAGCCAGGGAAATTTAATTTTCCTAAATAATAATTTTATCATTACAAATATATTAATGTAAAAAATATTAGTTAAATTGATTTCAGTTGATTATTTAATTAACTATCTTTGGAAGTTTTTTTTTTCCAACATTAAGTAATTAATAAAATGAAGTCAAAAAAGGTGACATAGAATTTTGTTTTTGAATCAAATTTAGTGATATTTGTCTCTTTTAAAATTTGAAGCTTTATTAATCGGTTAGTTGGTTGGTTTTGTTTAGTGGCATATCAACAACCTCTATGGGTTATTTTAATGCCAAAATCTAAATATTTTGAATGTAATTGTATGCCTTCAACTACAGATAAAATGTATTGTTGGTAATTCAACTATAAATAGGTATTGCTGGTAATTCAACTATAAATAGGTATTGCTGGTAATTCTACTATAAATAGGTATTGTTGGTAATTCAACTATAAATAGGTATTGCTGGTAATTCTACTATAAATAGAATAACCTGTAAAAGTCAACTATAAATAGGTATTGACATCGATTCAACTATAAATAGGTATTGCTGGTAATTCAACTATAAATAGGTATTGCTGGTAATTAAACTATAAATAGGTATTGTTGGTAATTTTACTAGCAATAGGGGTTGGTAATTTTTCGCATATAAAATGTATTGCTGGTTTTTTTGCTATAAAAATGTAGTTTTATACTTTCATAGGGTTTTGTTTTTTGTTTGGGGATTCACTATTTGCTGGGACCCTAATAGGTGCCATCAGACTGGGTCAGGGTGGATCTAGGAACAACAGTAATTAAGAGGTGGTTCCAATCTCCTCAAAACCTCCAATCTCCTGATCAGAGTAATTTTTTGCAATGCCAGATGTATTTATCGTCACCTGTTGCAGACTAAGAAAATTAAAAAAACTACCATCTTTTTGTTAATCCTCATTACATAGATATCATCAAAAATAAATGCCATTTGATCTTGCCCATGGTTGTATGGTCTGAAATCAGAAAGGTCCACAGCTCCATGCCATGTCCTAGTTTCTGTTTGTTCAAACCATTGTACTAAGCCTGAGGAATTCATTATTTTCTGTTACAGTTTGATGTAGAGTAGGTGTGTGTTTGTTGAGTAAGCAGTTTCTTTCTTAGAGATGACATGCAAGGTGGATTTGTTTTAATTACATACCATAAATGCAGAAGGTTTCCTTCTTCTAGACAGAGTTGCCACTAAGGTTAATGATTCAATCTGTCTTAAAGTTTATATTGCTGGTAAAAATGGGAGAATAATAAAATTGGCCGAATTTCCAAGTTGTAATAGCAAAAATGAATGTAATAAACTTGACTGAAATTTGAACTCATCTCTCTCGTTCCTCAATCTGAGCCATTATCCATTATGCCACCATACCTCCACAATCATCATACAGCACAATCAAAGAAATAAAAGGAAAAAAAAATCCAAATTACCCCCAAAATTTTTTTTTAATTTTTTTTTTTTAATTAATTTTTCATCAACTTTGTTTTTCAACAAAACAATTAATGTGATCATTTACATTTTTTGTACATTTGTTTATTTCAAAGACAATTAAAAAAAAAGATCTTTCATCTTGACATGAATTATTAACCTTATGTCACAAAGGTCAAACAAAGGTAAAGAAAAACAAAGGGCAGATAACCGTGATATTGTTCGGTTAAATGACCTTTCATTTTTTGTGACCTGAGAAAAACTGAAAGGGAAAGCAAAGAATTTTCTCATTAGGTAAAAATATTGGATTTTAATTCATACTTTGATCATCCTTCCGTGATATTGATCTTTCTATTCCAATGGATATTGATTTTTCTTTTTTTTTTTAATTTTTGGATCTTAGTCTTTGAATTTCAATGGCAACACTCTTTCTCTCATCAATGGTTCCAACAATTTCAGAAAATATTGAAAAAATTCCTCAATGAATTCATCAATTCAAAACCAGAATTTATGATGGAAAAAAAATAATTTAGCTGAAAGTTGTTGCAACAATAAGCCAGTATATGGTAAAATTTCATTTTATAATATTGGACCAGCCAGTTCTGTTTTGGACAAAAATTATGAAATCTTTCCTTTAAAACAATCTTTCAGGCAAATAGGTTTCTTAAGTCCGCTTATTGTTATCATTCTTTCCAATATTGATGGAGGTCTTCCTTCCAAATGCTTATTTGAAGTCGTGTGAAATAAAATTAAAATAACATTTGCTTCTCTCTCCATATATATTTCATTATTTTCTTAAGGGTAAAGAATTTTATTATGGAAATAAAAACAGCAAGATAAGCTTTATCATTCACGATTAAAGAAAAAATTTAAACCAAAAATTTTTTTTTCATTCAACAGAGCTGAAATCGAGGGAAGACTAAATATTACAATATAAGATATAAAACATGAGAAGAATGTGATGAAATAAAGGCAGAACAATCAGATGGAAATAATGTCAAGCCCTAACAGGCATTCTCTCTGTTTACAGAGGGAGGGCTGTCTGGACCTGACATAGATCATTTCCAATGCCTTCAAATGTAATAAAGAATGAGAATGAGTAAGGATGGAGAAAGGGTCAATGCTGAAATTGGTAGCACAGCTTGGATTATTTATAAGGTGCTCAACAATGGCAGAGCCATATGTATTGTTGATCTTGTCATCAGATTGGAATGTACCATTCCTAATTTTTTTCCATTATTATTTGATTTATCCATGCATCTAAAAAATCAAGGTTTTTTCTACTTATGTAAATATATCACATTACATCCAAATTGGTATATCACATTGTTAATATGGTAGGGAAGTAGAACATCCTTTCGAGCAGACACCCAAGGAGACCTGGTAGAGAAAACAACATGCACATTGGCAGAATCTGTTTGTCAAATTTTTTTAATTTATTGAAAACAACCACAGACAAACGCAAATAAACAGGGAATTTAGAAGCCATACTCAGTTTA